ACATAAATAATTGACATTTTTTGGATACAATTTTCGCGTTCACCTTCTCGAAACGCTCGAAATTATTCCGGGTTTTTTTTTTTTTTTTTTTTGACAATATGTCTCCTTTCTCGTCTCGCTCACACGTGTTGCTCACTCATACACACTCAAAATAATTATCCATATTTCCCTTCGACTCTTGAGTCGATGTGCAATATTTACCTCGCGCAGAGGGAAGATCTATAAATTATTTATAAAGAATAACCGTGACACGGTCGGGCGTTTGTTCATCTAAACGTAGTTAAAATTACGAAGGTTTACATTACGGAAACGCTACGGAAAGAACGGTATGTGTGTGTCTTCCTGACGTCCTAATCGGTGGTATTGAGCAAAGTGCCGTAATTACGTACTCGTTAGACTTACTCGAATTAGAAATTATACGTATCCTCCTATTGGTCGTTTATGCTACTTAACAGTAGACTATTTGGCGGTTACTTGCGTTATTGCTGCTAAAATTTATGTAAAAGGGAGCTGTGCCTCACTCTCTAATATGGTTATCGCAATTAATCGTAAATTTCTTCTTTTTTTTTGTATTTTGACAATTTTCATTGTATTTGCTAGATCTCTCGGGATGAATGCATGCTGATAGCTTTATTTTGAGGGAAAACAAGGAATTCGCCTTTCTTACTGAATCGAGTTTCGAATGTTGTCGCGGGGGACATATAGCCAACGATATATTTTTAATTAACGATTAAGTTCATTAAACTCATGTTTTCTTTTTGCATTGCAAAAGCATGTTCTTTGTCAAGAGTCTAGTTCTTTGACAGTTTGTGCGGACGAAAATCCCGTAGCTCGTGGAGCAGCGCCGCGAGTTGTCGAAGGCATCTCGATTGTTCTCACAAATGTGTGTACGCGAATGTACTTTCGCGTCAATACAGTGTGTTTAGTACGTATTGAAAAATTTTCTCGTAGATGTACAGTCCACGCTAGACTACGTTATGCTTCTTATCGTCCTCGCTCTCTATCTATCCTTCCCAATACTGCTATCATTTAATACGATATTAACAAAGTCGTAATTGGAAAATCTCGGCGCATCGACGTAATACTTTTCTTCTCGCGATGTGTCTCGCGGTTCGTTCGATTAAAGCGGTATGACGGTCGATTGAGCTGTAGATAATGTTTGTTACTTTACTATAAATTTTCTGAATAACTATAAAAGCGTTTACAAGACTATGTGTGATTTGTAACAAGAGGTATGAAATTATAAATTATATTTATATTATACCAAAAGTTTCGGTAAACCTTCTCGTCTTCTCGGGGCTTTCTCTCTGAATACATTTCTGAAATATCTCTTACGAAGTACCTATCTTTTCTGTCAAGGAGCACTCTGTCGTGTAGCTAAACCGACTATTATATCGTTTTAATGAATTGTCGAGCGTAACGTACCCACGTCTTCGAATCGCAGCAATGCGACTTTCTTCGATACATTTTCTCCCTTCTGCGACACGCCCCGATTTTTTTTTTTTTAGATGGAAGCACGAAATGTTTCACGAGGCCCGCGGAAAATATCACAGCCCTGAGAGAAGTCACGAAACTATCCGCGACGCATCCAGGAGTTCTTGGTCGTACATTTATTTTGAAAGTGGCGTAAGTCCAAGTTTGTGATGCACTCTAAATTCTGGACTATAAATTCGTGCAATCTGTCTCTACAGGTTCTACTTCTTAAAACTGTTATACGCCATTTTCAAAACGAGCGGCTTGTATAATAGCAATAGCTTCCGAAGAGTATAGGTCGCGTTACGCGTTGCAAGTGATTTGTTAAATTAACGTTTTGTTCTCAAAGCACTTGTGGCTATAGGACGATTCAGGACGACGGTTCGTGCAATCGGAGCAGTAAATACAGCGGTGGAACTCGAGCAAAATTGTGCGAAGTAGCATAATAGCCAATCTATTACGCTTTGAGAAACTTGTCTATGCGGATATATGAGAAATGTATCGATCGCAAGTCATAAAAAATTGTTGTTGAATCATCAAGGGTTGCCACTAAAAATCAGGGTAATATCAGGAAAATTAAAAACAGTGAGGGAAATCAAGAAATTTTTCAAAATTTTCTGAAAAATAAAAATTCTTGGTTCTAAAGAAGTTTAACATGCGTACATCACACCTACGTAGTTTTGGAATACAACTAATTTAACAATTAAATGCAAGCAGTGTCAGCAATATTAATAGTAATTTGCATTGCTTTGTTAAATTACTCTCGCAACAAAATATTTAACGGTTTTCAAATCAGGATGCAAAACAGAAATATTAAAAATCACGGAAAGTCATGGAATTTTAGAACGAGGAGTTTGTGACAACCCTTTTATCAATCGAATTTTTAACTCAACATTGTTACATCTTTGCGTACGTTTTCAAAACTGAGAATGTCACAGATGTGTTAAGGTGTTCGTAAAATCCAATATAAGAGTGGCAGTGAATTAATATCGGCAACGAAGCATTAATTATGTATTCTTAAGCAGTATGTCAAAGTAGATTTCAAGAATAACCGATATTCTTTGGCGATGCGATTTCAGAAGCATTGTGCTTTTATCGATAGCGTGTGAATCTGGACAAGATTGTTAATTTTCCGGAACTGAGACCAAAATCATAATTACTAACGCTGGGTTTGCAAGACCCATCTAATTTATGTTAATTAAATGGCACTATAATTAATTTCGAAGAACGAAAATAATATAATTTGTATAAAAAGGAATGAATATTAAGTTCTCCTTAAAATACTATTTTAATACGAATAGTTCAAATTTTCAGATATAACATAAAGAGAATTGAACTGTTTGACTTTTTCGACAAAGAGATTTATTACTGAGTGAGTTTAATATAGATCCATTCAGTTCCGGAAGCTTAAGTTTGTATTTTATAGAAAGTAGCAAGTCAAATTTTGAAAGATTAAAATGGAATACGCGATTAACAAGAAAATTTGCTTCGTTGCGTTGCTATCAATTAAGAAGTTCTTTTCTTTTTTATTAGTGATGCATGCGAGCTATTTGCGAAGCTTTTAATTAATCGTTAGAATCGTAGAAATTTAATATCTCTCTCGCATTCTCAAAATTCTCTCTTTGGAGATTTCGTTATATTCGCACATTATAAGCGCACTTGTCTGATTCGATATTCATGTATAGGGCGTTTCAAAATTACACTGGCAAACACCATTGGTGGCGAATTCATTGACAAATTTGGAGTCATCATCTTAAAAACTATCGAAATATTAATAATTTCTCAATTACATAAGCGATTGGATATGAGTAATCTTTCGTATATATTACCTTTGAAAAGTACAAACAAGTAACGAAATCTTAGTCTACATTTAACCTTAAGTGAATCTTAAGTGAACTTTGAAAGCTTTTATTTAATGCTTATTTATATATTTAATGTTATAAATCAAGAAAAGAAAAGACTTTTTTATTCAGCTATTTTTCTCTTCATTATGGAACGACTAACTAAGTGAAAATGCTCAAAGAGAGAATTCATAGATATCAATTCCTTGAAGAATTTAGAAAAGTTTTTACTTTTAATAATAAAATCAATGTAAAAAGAAAAAAAATGCAAGTTTTGATGGAAAAGATTTTTTTGGTGATATTGTATCTAATTATATAAGAATAAAAATAAGTCGACGGAAAATGTACAAACAGTATATAAAACTCTATTAATTTTTATGGTTCTCGTATGACGTGAGATTGAATTCAAATATTTTTTAAAACGCACAGGATATTTTTAATATAGTACAATATCATTAATTCATTTAAAAATTATAAAAAGTATGGCTTATTTCTTTGGTGTGTGACAGTGATGCCATTTACGATCGTTCTTTGGTCGAAGATTAAAGAACGATATAAATGCAACGCCTGAGATGATAATTGTGTACTCCAATCAAACTACTTCGGCTTTTTTTTTAAACGCAAGAAATATTATAAGATTAATCACGTATAATTGTCACATGCAATTTGTTCATATTTCTGCACATTTAACGCTAAATATGGCTGCCTGGTTCTAAATTTGATTAATTTAATAGATCATGCTTGCATGTGCTGGAGACATGATATGAGAAACAGCCAACCATAGTTGGTACTAAATGTACACTGAGAATAGACCTCCCATTTCTTTTAACAATTTTTTTTGAGAATCCTTTTGATCGTTTTTGCGACTAACAAAATAATTTAAATAAATTGCACGTATAATAAATATTTTTGCGAATTTATCTCGATAAATTAAAAATTGCAATTTATGAAGCGAAATTATGAAATCATGATTTAAACTTTTAAACTTTCACATTTTCTGTATTTATTATTATTTATTTCAAAGTAAAATATATAGCATAGCATATGTAATTTTAATGTATGTACTTGAACGTGTTAGTGATGCAAATTGCGAAATAAATAAATAAGTGTTATTAAGCCAAGTTTGAAGTCTGGACGGAAATGCCTGACAAATGATAGCGAAATTATGCCGAATAATTTACAAGCGTGGAAGAAATACTGAGTTAAAAACAGTCATTAATCTTTCTTTAACATTATGAGATTACTAATTCATCTGATATCGCAAAAATAAGTGGTGCTTGTAAGAGGCGGATAATTATTTCTCAAATACGATCGCAATTTACTGTCGTTAACAGCGTTTGAGGTCTTTCAAACGGAGTCGCAGGTGAACGGGCTCGTCACCTCCTAAAGGTGTCTCCGAAGAATCCTCAACGCCATTAATTTCAAAGGACCGGTCGCATTCCCGTGCTGAATCTTCGTCTCTCGTTAAGGCGCGACGGAGTCCCTGAAGTAGAAGTCGGCAGTTCTTTCGGTGTAGATTGGTCGGTCGTTTCCATTAGAGATATCCGTGAAGCTTTTCTACGGTACGGATCCTTTGACGATTCGGAGCACGCGTCCTTACAGGCTCCAGTAATACCGCGATACCCTCAGGATCTTCGGCGATCGCGCAAAGTCGAGAAATCCCGGCACAATTGTCCTTAAAGAGGATCAGGATGCGCCGTAAACGCAGGCCGAGTTGTCTGGTGGACTGATCTTCTCCACAGGTAACACCGCTGCTCTGTGCCACTCGTCACGAACCTATTATCGGAAGAGATAATGATTGCTCACTGCAGCCAGATAAGAAATAGAGAATAAAATCGATCTGCGTTTGATACCATTTTTAGAATTTCTTTTTACATGGACAAAACAATTTTGTTGAAGAATTTAGAATTAAGAATTTAGCTAAACAGACTTAAAAATATTTTGTTGGTTTAAAATTATCAAAACAATTTGTATGATGTTCGAATTTGTCTTAGAAAAGAAGAGTTCAACTTTTTTGCGATCGAAGATCGTTTTATTTCTGCATCTTATTTTTGTTCATGGAAATCGAAAATTATCATAATAATGGATGGCACTTAAGAAAAAATTGATACATTGAAATAAAGTTTATAAAATTCTCATTCGTATCGTCGCTGTCAGTTATGCTTCAATCATTTAAAAATTAATTCAGAGAGAGAGAGAGAGAGAGAGAGAGAGAGAGAGAGAGAGAGAGAGAGAGAGAAAGTTTGATCGATTTTATTAACTTTATTTTAATTTACCAATGCAAAACTTTTTATAGCATTGCTGATCATGTTGGAATTTTTTGCATGATTATTTTAATAATGTAATGAAATTTTTCGAATCAATATCTACCTAAACTTTTAGATACTTTAATAAAATCATTCTTTCCGCCGGAAAAAATCAAAACTAAATTAGAAGAAAATTACGTAACATCTGTAAATTTTTCTGCAGAAATATTCGTGCGTTATTTAATCACTATAATATTTCATTGTCTATTAATGTTTCTATCTTTCATTGTATACAACTATTTAATTTGTCTGAAAAAGCTGGTTTTTGTTTTTCTTGTTACTTTTTTTATGTCATGTAGCATTTTCTTTATTGCGAGCGTGAAAATAATTTCAACAATGAACTTGTGAAAACAGGAGCAACGCCATAGTTATAACGCACTCAATTAGCTTAGCGCGCGCGCGTGTGCACCTAACAAAGAGTGTTAAAACTTTAATAACCATCCAAGAGCGCTGATAAATATATTCAACGAGCGCGCGCAATTAATCGTAGTCAGATATCCGGAATTACTTAGTCACGGTCGTGTAGGATGTTTTGTTTTAGCAGCTGAAAAGCTTTTTGTTTACAGCCATTGTAAATAATGATCGTAAAAAAAAGAAAAACAAAAACGGCATCGTGTAACCGATTAGAAAAGAACATTGCCATACCTGTTCGACTTTTGCAAATACCCTCAATAAGTTGAGGCCAGCTAGTTTTTTGATGTCATCCTCCGTCCATGTAGGATCCTCTAACAAGGTGGCCAATAGTTGCGGATACCTCGAGACATCCTCTAAACCCGTAGGAGTACTGCAAAAGAGACAAATCTCGTGAGGGTCTAACGATCTTCTTAACTTAGTTGATTCGAGGTAACACTCAGAGAGCGATAAGTTCGCAGTGCTTGATGCGTTATGTTCAGTTCTTAAACGAGCATTGTAACAATAAACTGAATAACGATTGAATCGTTTGTTTTGAAAAAGATATGAATTATATTTTTAGTCAATCTGAGTTGGTATATTTAGTGTCATAAAACTGGTCTTCAATACTTTCACTTCTGCTACAGTATTGTACTCGCAATTGACGTGTGTCCCACGCATTATTGTAGATACGCAAGCTTTTGTGATTCCACATTAGGTCTGAACAGTTTGATTGTTGTTATGAATAAGTATTGAATTCGAAAATAGAAAATACTGTACAATAAAAATAAATTTTACAATTAGCTAGTTTATTGTGAAACATATTTATTCGAGCATACATGATATAAGTTTAATCATAAAATTATTAAAATTTACGATCTATTTGGATGATATATTAGTGATTTTACAAACGTTATTTAGCTCAGTTAGAGAGAATTTAATATATCAACATCTTTCTTCAATTCGATATTTTAGTAAGAGGGATATGATTTAAGTCGTTTTATTCTTTCTGAACTGATAGTGATATTCACAGGTATGCGCAGTCTACTGTTAAACCGAAATAAATTTTGAAAAAATTATTATGACGAAGAAAAAAGAAGTTGCGTCAGCAACGATATATTTTACTATGCATTACATTATTACAAGAACCATGATAGGCACTTTGTGAAAGTTTCATGACTGCGGAACAAAAGCAGTTCCTTGGGCATTGTTTCTTGTGCCTCCCCTCCATAAAATTAACCTCCCGGGACTCACGCGCTTCTAAAAACAAGCGAAGCAATTATCTTCGAGCGTAAAAGTGGAACTCTCTGTAGGTTAAATACATATTTACGTCGAGTTTCAGATTTATTACGGATTGTAGTTTTCGACGAAATTAATCGCAAGCGCTACCATACCAAATTACTTTTACAACAAAGCGCCATGTACGGGTTGCCTCTGAGTGCTCCTACGTGCGAAAATAGATATTGTGAAAGAATAATTACAAATTTATCCCGTCGAAACCCGCTCCGATCCCAACGTGATCGATTCCAGCCACCTTTCGAATATGATTGATGTGTGCTGAAACAATATATTGGGCCTTGATCATTTTGTCCTGGTACCAGCACGTCACAAAATATTTTAATATGAAATATTTTAATATAAATGCATGCGCTTTTGCCTGTGGGAATAAAATGTGATTGGGGAATAACATGATTATGAGGTAACGTGCTCATGAGATCGCGTCATACATGCATATATAGGTAAGATAAAACGTTTTATTATTGTCAGAACGTGCATACACACGCAACGGATCTTTTTAAATATTTACGCGAGCGCTAAAGTAGAAGTAAATATACATCCTACTTAAAAAATGGCTAAGCAAGATGAATTGCAGGATTCTTGCAATATTAAGATACATGTTTGTTTCTTCATTTGAGAAATAACGGATGCATTTATTTGGTTGTAATTTTATGTCTTTTTAAGAGCATGATTCCGAAAATTAAATTTACAACGGAAAATGTGTCAAAGTGACGTAAAATATAACGTGTACAGTAATTACGCGTCTGTCACATGCAATATTGATACGGTATAATTTATTCCCGGGGTGCAGCTTAGCACAGTTTCGCGTATAGCGTTGCACGTACCAATAACGTCTTTTATAGTAGCGGTGCTGTTGCATGTTATGAAGTAGGTATAAAAAGGGACCATCGCCACTCCGCCATTCTTAGCCTGTGAACAGATGCATTAATGTCATACACACTGTGCTATCGTATTTCTTTCGATCTTTAAACGTGTGACACGAAAATACATTGTGCAGTTATTTGCAATAAAGTTGTAATACACATTATCCCACTCGTGAAATTTATACGCGAGAAAATGGTAGCTGGTTGTTTAAAACGGTCACTCTTTAGAATCCCATGATACAAAAACATTGACATAAAGATAAATTAAATATTTTATTAATTTAAAAAATTTGTTCACCTAGATTATTGTAATTATAAAATTTATACGTTTAAAGATTTACATGTAATAATATGATATAATTGCATCAAAGAAGTTAACGATACAGAAAATTAGCAGTTAATAATGAAAATTAAATTACGAGAATTATTACAATAAGTATTGCAAAAAAGTAATAATACAATATAGAATAATTTAATTAATACTAATTTCTTCATTAATTACATTGGTTTTTTTTTTCTAATCAACTGAACGTGAAAACTGTCAGGGATATTGGTTCAAGAAACACGCAGTTGTTTATTTGATACGTATCCTTGCTTAAACTCTATGCAATGTTAATTAGGGTAGCAGGACAACGCGGTTAATAACACGTTAGCGGACAAGCCATTCGGCTTAGATCGCTGTTACTCATCCTCTCGTTCTGCGGATATAATTAAGGGAATATCGATCGCCCATGGAGAGAGAAGAGAATGAAGTTTGTGGACATGACGATGTTAGAGTGACTTGAAGACATCAAGGAAAATTTCGATTAATTAATCAGTAATCATTTTGTTTTTCGAAGATGGGTTAACAATACTTCGCGTGCACTGCTTTGTAAGTTGAAAATGTATTTTATAACCATCGATGAACAAAGTAATATAATTAGTGATGCATTTTGATAAATTAAATTTGCATCGTACATTCTTTTGAGAAAATTTCGAAGTGTCAAATTAATCAGCAATAAATTGAATTCAATTTCGTTGACTTAGAGCTCCTTGAGCTCATTGTCGGTTCATCAATCGTTAATCGACGGACATGCGGTACGAGAATGGGATGAAATTTTAATGAACGTTTAAATCCTCGGCCAACTGTTACACTATTGAAACGTCAATTATCGTACCGCGTTTATGCTCCTCGCGAATTTAATGAGCGAGGAAAAATTTTGGTGCTGCGGTTCAAAGGGCGAGATTAATGCCGCGATTGAATTAACGCCAATTGGCGATGGTGGGTGTGAGCACTGTGAACAGAATTATCGATAATAACGTGGATTAAGCCTTGAACTTCTAACACACTCGTGCTATTCTGGCGCGTTGTTTCCGTCGCTCGAAATCGTTTTGACATAATAGATATATATCTCGAGTTCTCGTTCCTTCGTCGATTACGAATAGTTTGCGATTATCTCGTTACACGAACTCGAACAATTTGCGCGTTCTCGATGTTACTTTGTGTTTGATAATATAGATCCCGATGTTCTTGCACGTTTCTACCAATGCAATCCATGCGTACGTTTTACAACTTTGCGGATTGCAAACTACTCTCGTATTGCGTTCGATTTGCACACGGCTGGCCTCACTTCGCTTGTACGCTACGAATTTAATTTCGACGTTACGCATCTCACTTCCAGATATCGGATCTGTCGATAAAACTTGCGTTTAATCACCCAGCACTGCGGGCACACCTTCTTTTTTGCTTTCGCATTTTTTTATTTCCTTTTACATGTACTCGAACGGCTGCAATATATAAAAAGCGATTGTCGGCAGCTATTTATTTTCGTAGTGTATGCTTGATTTTTTCTCGAATTCTACTATATTGAAATTCTATCACGCATATATTCGAATTCATATATTCTATCATATTCATATCATTTTATTATATTCGAATTCTATCATATTTTTATTATCATTATATACTTTATTATATCTTTACACACACAGTATAAACAATTTTACTGAAGTAACCTATAATATTTAAATAGCTACATTCGGATCTGAGAATAATTGGATTATCGAAATAATTATATAGAACGCTCAAGTTAATTGCTAGAATAACAACAATTTATGTAGCATTTTTATCACGCTTGAGTTTTCTACATAGTTATTTTATGTTGGTCCAATAAAATTATTTTCAGATTTGTACCTATACATGGAAAGAATGATTTTATTGAAATATCTATACATTGGAAAAAAATATTATATCAATAATATTATTTGAATTGAAAAAATAATTTTGTTAAATTAATAATAGTATTAATAAAACAAATAACATTTTATCAAAACAAGAATGTGACATACTTACTTTTTCGTTAATTAGTGTTATTAAATTAAAAAAATTGTTTATAATTAAAATAATGCAGTTGATACAATATAATTTTTTTCAATGTAAAAATTTAGCTGCAAATTTGAAAATAACTTTTTTGGGTCGTCAAAATAATTATATAATAAGACTTAAATTAGTTACTAAAATTTGTTGTGATATTATCATCGAGTTTTAACTTCCTACGTAATTATTTTGATGATCCAAAATTATTTTCAGATCTATGTCTAAGCTAAATTTTTAGATATTTTAACAAAATCATTTTTTTCTATGTACATTTTCCACGATAATGCTTTAATATCGCTGCCTTTTTAATTATATTATAGTTTCACATCGAAGTTGTAATTAATTACAAGATTAAAATAAATTTTTGACGAGACTATTCTGCATTGCCGCGTGAAATCAATAATGTTCATGACCATGTTTACAGCGTAGCTGCGGATATTTTATTACTCGCTGCTCCTCAAATATTACACGTATCGTAATTCCGCCGGGCAGTTGTCGCTCACCAATACTAAACCACACCACAACTGAGCTTTAGTACGACCAGGTTGGTCCGTGGCATGTATGTGCTAACCCAAAATCAAATAATCTTGGTATGGTCGAACAAAGGTAGTAGCTGTGGTAGCCAGCAACTTTCATACGCGCCGGTTTACATTTTCGCGAGTGCCCGCTTTGATTTTCTCTATCCGTCTCTTGTAAACCGCGGTGTAGTAAAGAAATATCTCATTCGTTTTCTGTACACGAGCGCTCGTACTTTGCAGTGTTTTCTAACTGACCGACACGCGCGTGGTAGCAAGAGAGAACCTGAATAAATAAATAAATAAATCCGTCTGTACTACATATACTGCAATCGACGTATCGCTTTTTTTTTTTTTTTCTCGTGACAGAGCGCGCTCCGTTTTGCTCGCTACCTATTTTTCGCGGAAAGTGCGGAATATCAGCAACGACGGAATAATTGAACTGATCCGTTTACCGTATTTCTTTTCCACTCTGTTTTTAAAGCGCAATCCGATTGCATTTGGGGTATACGTGTTTATACGACGCAAAGAACTCACCAGATTTCTGAGCACGTCGTCCGGCACGTTTCTGGTGGAATTGCACAGCGCTCTGGCAGCGCTGTGCGAGAAGATCACCGGCGCCCTCGTCGTCTGCAGAGCCGCCCTCATCGTTCTTGTCGAGACATGCGAGAGATCGACCAGCATGCCCAGCCTGTTCAATTCCCTGACAACTGCCTGCGGGGGAAATATAATAAAATGCTTTAAAATTCATTTTCGTTTCTATAAACTAATGTGGCTATTTTATAAAGCAGATAAAAGGATAAAACTGAATCGATAGAATCACAAGACATTAATTGCATATTTAGATGAAAGTATTGTGGATAAAAATAGGTAAATAAAATAGGTAAAAAAGATACAAGCCGAAAATGTTTTGGATGTGTATAAGTCAATAAGAACAACAAAACAAATTTTGATTATATGAATTAGAATTCTGATTTATAAAAAAAATTTCAAATTTAGATGAAAAATAGGATGGATAAATAAATAGATGATGTAAGTATATAATAAAAATGCTGCACTGAGAAAAATGTTTGAATGTATTAACAAGAATTAGTATTGTACAAACAAAATGAATTCTGATCGCGTATAAATTAGAATTCTATAATTATCGTAATCGAATTTCTGATTATTTCAATTAAAATGATTGCTATATTTAATTATAAGTGTCCAATTTGTACCTTTTTGATTAAATCTGTTATAATTCCAATTGACTTTTTCCAGTACATTTTAGGACTTTGTCTTTCTATTTATTATATATATATATATATACCTACACTATTTCTCAGGTTATATTTTTGGTATAATATATTTCAAATGTATATTTTAAACTTATGCTTTAAAAAGAGAATATTTAATAACGAAAGTGAAGTGTAGGAATAATCAAAGTATCGTAAATATTTTTAACTTCAAAGTGCGATCGAAATGTCGGAATGAAGTGCGTCTATTGCAAAAACACGTGGGAAGGATAGAGGAAAAGGGTAAGAGAAAAATATCAAGAGAAACAGAGGAAGTTTTGACTAGCGAACATTAACCGAGAACGCAAGCAACCATTCCCTCATGTGGGAAAAAGCTTGGATGTATTGGCGATTGGTCGAACGCAGAGGTAGTATATTTGCGATCCTCTTCTGCCATAAATGTTAATCGCTTTTCCTTATCTTGACAACGGAGTAGGTTTAATTTTGAGGATCGTTGCGAGTTCCCCCCGGTGTTATAGATTAGCGCGTTAATTTCATTCAATTTTCCGGGTTTAGCTTGACCTATATCGTTGTTTTAATTAACGGATCATTTAATTAACTTTTAAAATACAGGATTGCTAAAAATAATTAGCGGATAGAATTGAAAGAACTGATTACGTTTCTTCGTTATTTTTGTTCTTTCATTAATTTTAGAGATCATGACTTTTATTCGGATGTTCCTATACGTATTTTCTACAAACGTCGCGAGCAAATTTCGATAAATACAGTCCTGTCGATGGAAAAGGAAATGGAGGGAGGTGGGTGGAAGAACGAATCACAATGGTCTCGTTTTTCCGGCATTAAGGGTGAGAGCTCACTTTTCTCGGCGTACACGATTTCATGCGAAAGATTCGAGTCTCGTGCGTAGAAAACGACGCGCAATGTTTTTGTGAATAGACTGTCTCTGATACGCGTCGTTTTTGGCGAAATAAACGATTACGCAAATAGAGAATGGCTTCTTATCAGCAGTATTAATAACCGAGAAACAAGCGAAAAAGCACGATTCGCGCGTGTTAAATATCGTAAAACATGCGAATAAAGTCGCGGACAGGTAGAATGGACGAGTAAATGGTTACACGAAAAGAACGGTTTCGCTGAAGTATCTAAAAATTCAGCTACTTATATACAGATCTAAAAATAATTTTGCTGAGCCATTAAAATAATTATGTAAAAATCTCAAATACGACAAATAATACTGCAAAAAGTTTTAACATTCTAGTAACCAGTTTTTCTAACAAAAGTTTCTAATAAAATTATTTTCAATTCTGTATCTATATATGTATAATTTTGTATATAGCTAAAGTTTTAGATACTTCAGTGAAGCCGTTCTTTCCGTGTGTGTAAAAAAAAGAACTGCAATATATTACTAAAAATTAAATAAAATTGAAATAAGAAAATTAGGCTCCGAAAATGAATCAATCAAATAAAACTAATATTTTCAATAAGAGTTAATATGATTGTTAACGCATAAACTATATTATTAACAAATTGCATAATTGATATATTTCAACAATTCGCTCAAAATAAAGTCGTTAAAAATTATATCGCAAAAATTTTATCATAATAAAAAGTATTATTTCAATGGTTTTTTGGTATGTAACTAGCGTACGTGAATTCTAACTTCATGCGCTTCAGAATAATGTTCGTGAAATTTTTTGATCAATTTAGATTTAATCGCGAAAATTTTCAAATTAATAGCATCGCGGCAATTATTACCGCATTCGACATCCATTTCAATCCTTTGCGAAAATTAAAAGGGAGGAAACCCAGTTTCATAGTCGGCATCCCGCGGCGCGGTGGACGAAACGGCGAATTTTCGTGGTGTAATCCGATGCCTGTTGCTGAATATCGAGCGCGTGGCGGGACTAGGCGAAACTAATCGTCACATCGAAAAGCCGCAATAAAATCAAGCCCGCGATGCCATGTTGCAACCGTGACAAATACAACGCCGCGAGCTATCGCTATAATTTCACGATACATCACCGCGTCGCGTTAACGGTGATTCAAGATGCGTTTGTATATACGTACTCGCGCACCTGGTGATCGGAAAATATAGGTCGTTCAATAGAAATAACAGGTCGAAGGAACAAGAGAGTAAAAGAGCAAAAATGTTCGTCGAATTGCGCATTCGTTTCTACACACGCGAATTTATTTCAAACTCTTTTTACCGGGGCGATGCAGGATGGACGATGCTGTCCATCGTCGGAAATGCATGTTGGTATTTACAGCGGCATGACGTTATGGAAGGTTGAACTGTACGAGGAGACATGAGCACGCGCGGGGAATTTTCAGATAATTCCATTTGTCTTTCCGAACGAGCTGTGGCGTCGCGACGTTTCCATTTGAAACGACACGCGAAATTCGTTTCGGTTGAAACGTATTGCCGGATATACAAACAGGCGGTTCCGAGAGACTTAGATTTCGAGGTAATGAGTCACTCATTTACAATCCGTTTAATTAATTTACATTTCAAATTATTTGCTATGCGGATGGTTGTAAAAGCTAGTTTCTTTGGCCTGTATTTTGAAACTCCCCAGTAAACATCAACTAAAAGTGATATAACATCAATGTTATAATTTTACACTCAACAATATAAATATAATATAACACATGTTATATGTAACAGCTACATTGTTCAGTGTGAAATCATAACATACTGGTGTTGTGTTACTTTCAGTTGGTGTTTACAGGGTCTCGTATAATGCGGAGAAATTTCTTTTGTTTGAACAGAAAATCAAACACGCGAAAGAGAAAAGACTTTTCTTCCTTGGACAGAAAATCAAACTAGCGTACGAGGTGAATTATTGTTCCTGACAAAAAACTTCGGTATTACAGACGAAGAAAAAGAGCGATATTAAATTCATTTCGATTGAAACGTTTTTTGTCGGATATACAAAACGAGCTGTTACAAATGTAATATGTTGTACGTGTTACTTATATTGTTGAATGTGAAGTTATAACATTGATGTTATGTTTACTGAGTGTAACGTAAAATCGGAGAGATACATCTCTTCTTGGAAAACAGAAACCAAACTAATACATACGAGGATAGATTATTGGGGGGGGGGGGGGGGGGGGGAGGAAGAAGAGGGCGATATTACTTCCAGGACTTGTAGATTATCGGAATTTCGTGGTGAAATGTACGCTCGGTACCAAGGCTAGTAGCAATAACACTTTTGTACCGTCGGGTGTTTCAATATAGCCAGCGGTGGTGCTGCGACAATCGAGACACGGCAACGCGACTTTTCGTTTGCGTAGCAAACAAAATAGAGCACAGTTGATATCGCGCGTACAGGAAATTCTTTTTTCCGAATAATTTATTGTAACCATGGCTCAAGCCATATTTACCGTTTTTCGATAGTCAGTTACAATGAATGTATGCTGAAATAACGTTATAGGAATTGGCGATATTTATTAATTAAGTTTTATTTTTTCGATTTCCCGCAGTGAAGAACGAATTGAAGAACTTACTGCAGTTTTATAAAAATGTGGGTTTAACCAACTGTTTCCCATCATTTTTAACTTTAGTTTGTCTCCTCTATATCGTTTATAAAATATGGGTTAATCTACTGTTGCAGTCAGTACATTTGGACTACATATGGAAAGAACGATTTTGCTGAACTAATATTTAGCTTATAGATACATATTTGAAAATGTGTAGTTTTGTGTTGAACCATCAAAATAATTGTTGAACTTTCAAGCATAATGAGCAATGTTGTAAAAAGTTTGACATTCTATAAAATGACAAAGGCTTTATGAATAAATCAATAACAATATAGAAAGGGAGCATAAAAACCAATGCTAGTTGTTGTTGGGAAACTAATCTTTATCACATTCGAATCCTATTAGAATAACAAATTAGATGTTTCGACTTTTATTCGGTCATCTTCAGTATTTAAAATTACACAGTACCTGTATATTAAAATTCCAGGCAGCTTTTAATAATTAGCGTCAAATTTTCTTACAACTTTTTCTCACTACTTGTGGTTAAAATTACAACGATTACACTTGTCATTTTAGCAACCAACTTGAGCGTTCTATGCATAATTATTTTGATAGTGCAACGAAATTATTTTTAGATCGGTGTCTGGCGAATTTCTTAAATAATTCAGTAAAACTGTTTCTTTCCCGCGTGATGCAGTCAAATATATATAGATAGCAAAAAGTCTAGATCGTATATTATGAATAAAAATGATTAAAATTCTGGATCATGTTATTTGGAAAGACGTCACTACGACAGCGAATTATTTCAGACTTTTAATTGTCAATTTATAGATGGAATGTCTATATTTAGCACTTTATGAGGGCGAGCGTCAATGAGAAATGGCAGAACATTTAACGCTGCGCGTAGAATTTTTCTTTGGAAAACCTGTATCATTTATTAATATAAAATTTAGCTGTTGCAAGGGATGCGAGATAACGGGAGGTGATTCGTATGATTTACGTTCTTACGCGTTTTTCTCGTCCGTTTATTTCTTCCTTATTTCTTACCGAGTTTACTACTAGTTCTTCCTTTTCTTTTTTTTTTTTTGGTTCTTTTAATCGAAAACTGCCATTGCCATAGGATTATGAATTTTGACAAGAACTCAATTGATGCGAAATTATCCGATGAAGATTCGTTTCTTTCGGTTTTTTGAACGAAAATAATCGCGCGACGCTGAATAGCAGAAATTCGCCTCGTCGAGATCAGCGAACCTATGCGTTAACGCTCGAAATCCCTCGACGAATTCTACGCGCGCGAAAGTGGGTCGGGATATAATTTTATGAACGCGACGGAGCGACGGGAGTGATAAACGGAATGTAGGTCGGACGCGATCACTCGCGCGTTCGTTGACGATCATTTCCCCGGTTACGTCGTGGAAAAATAATTCCAGCCATCGAGATCGTGAAGCTACGATCTAAATCCCGCTACGAAAATTGGGAACGTCCCTGATGTAATGTGCCGTCGTGACGTCTCGTTTATTTAGATATTCCAGAAGGATAAGCCGTTGGGAAATTTTAACGTACAGGCGCGAAGTGTTATAAAAATTTGCGGGCATTATTTTATGTATTTATGCATTTCATTCGCTAATAGGTGATTTAAGCGCCAAACTTTTTTCATTTGAATAACAATTCTACAAAAAATGTGAGTGTACGTTTAATGTCATGGCAGTAAATTTGGCAGTAAATTGATATAAACATGGTATAGATTTAACACTATGATTTAAAACCTGTGATATTAAATTCATACCGTGTTGGGAGGGGTGGTTATACCAACACCAGCACGGTAAGAATTATAGTTAATACGCTCTAAATTTTTGGAGTGCACTTATTAATATAAAGAGCAGAAATTGAGCCAATCTTAAAAAATAGTGGCTCAATTTTTAATCTTTAAGAGTGAGATTTCACTTTCCAGAGTGAGATTTACTCTAAAGGTTTTTAGAGAGTGCTCCTTTACAGTATTTTTTGTAAAATGGTCTAAATCGAAAAAATTTAGCGTTTAAATCTGTTAGCGAATATTACCATGAGTTTTAAATCGTACAGTTATAAATGTAAATATGTTGATATTTATATTAACACCAGTATGTGGTAAAAATTATATAAATATCTCATAGCCTTAAATCCACACTCATATTTTGTAGAACGCGCGCACTTGTAATAATGTAGATGCAAATATAGAAACAACATTAAATTACTTCAAATATTTTAACAACATGGAATACTCTCTCTGATTCCATGTTGACATTACTATTTATTGAAGAAGCATCATATTTCCGTAAAAAGATGAAAATGTTTAATGCGATATTTGCGTTATAACGTATATATACACGCAGAGTTCATAGCGAAATTATAATCTAAACTGTCGCACGGTCGTTTCGCGGAATAATGCTGGGACGCATCTTGGCCGGAAGTCTGCAGTATTATTTTTCTGCAGAATGTCGCGCAGCTCTGTCCGCGGTCATAAAACGGAAACTCTTTCGGAAGCGTGTATGTACACGCGGGCATTTTTTTTTTTTGCAAACGCGATATTTCCCTGTTCACTGAAAAAGGTAAATCCGCAGTGGAGCGCGTACAATGTAAATGTTGACTCACTTTCCCAAATTCGCTGAGGCCCGGCGTGGAGTCCTGAGTGTTGTTCGTCTCGCCAACAGAACAGACTGCCCTGCCAAGAAAATGTCTGTTAGAACGTTAGTCTACGAGTCTCGCCGCGAAAATCCAGCGGTCGCGCTGGGTGCCTGGCGCTTGCTTTCTGTCCCCGCGGACGAGTTTCGCGGACGAGAGCGAATAATGTAATATTATATATTTTCTAAAACATCATGTTATACAGCTTCTAAATTTACATACGTATTTATACTACGCGTATATATTTATCATGATCCATTCTCAATGTGAAATAAAACGAATTTTTAGTAACACAGTAAATTGTCAATCATAAAAGCGTGTACATAATTAATAAAAAAAAATTAATTACATTATTTACTCTATATTTTACTATGCCTAAAAATACTATTTATTTATTTGATATTATACAGAATATTAAATATTAATATAAGTTTCTTTAATAGAGTTTGCATTTGTCCGAAACTCGAGAAAGTTGACAATTTTCAGCTTGAACGTTTATAATTTTTGTGACATAATTTCATATTTAATATTGTGTATATGTGTGTGTAACACATTTTTTCACAAGAGTGATTCTGACATTAAAAAATATCTTAAATTTGTATTAGATTTTTATATTCTCAGTTGTGACTTAGACACGCACTCAGAAAACAGACTCTATTTGTGTTCGAGGAGGCTCATCCGAGAAGCGCTGGGTCAAGTAATTTAGGTCAATGTACACAAACTCCATGTGCGCTTTCTGGTTGCGCACTTCGTTATCATATACGTAGCCTTTAGAATCGTTAAAGCAATTTGAAGCTCATTTGAGTTCCACGAAACTTTTCGGAAGTAACGCGCGTTTCCATTTAGCCATTTATTACGATTAATTCTTGCTGTCTGCTTGATACAAATTAATTGTTGGCTTGAGGACAAGTTTTGAAGTATCTACATAATAAAAACTATGTCTTGAGATCGCAAATACGTAATGACTAATAATTACGAAGCTGTATAATTTTGAAGTATTATTTTAATATTAGAGTTTTTCTGAGATAAATTTGACATTGAATTTTGTAAGAAATTATTACTTATTACAATTTTGTAACATTTCTTGGATAAATATCTTAACGTTTCTAACTTTGAATATCTATTAAAATAAATATTATTTTCATTCAACACACACACAATTGCGAGATGCAATATCTCGTTTAATAACTTTTATAGCTAAACATTTGCATAAATTTAATTTTTGTAAAGAAATATATATCTTTAAATTCGCCAGAAAAGCTACTAAGATTTGTTTTGTCTGAATATATTTTGCGTTATTTCTGTCTGCTGTTGAATAATGAAATCACATCAAATATCGAAGAAATAAAAATAACAAGGTTAAAAAACAAATAATACGAAAGTGCGAATGCTATCGAGAATCCGATAATTCTTCACGGTCAATTCTCGCTTCTAGACGTGGAAACGCCAGGAGATGATTCGGCATCGTCATCTAGAACTGTAGAAAATTCAATCGAGTTGACAATCTCGCGTCCCCAAGGAAAAGGGGGAGGACAGATGTGACAGACGAAGAGAGACGAGAGAGAAAGAGAGAGAATAGGGTCAGAGGCCGACATTAAGGCCCGGGTACACGTCCAAAAGCAATTCGGATATTGTCCCAATAAAAGCACGCTTTTCCTCATGGATGCCGGAAATCTCGGGCCGCAGAGATGAAACCGCATTTTTACGACGAGTTTTCTTCAGATATTCTCTGTGTAGTAGGCTTCTTTCATAGACGTGCACTTTTCTGAATGTTCCAAATCGCCTGTTCCTTTGTAATTCACATAACTATTATTATAAAAAATTGTATGTTATTGTTCTTTTTATGACGACACAATTTATGACGTTACATGATATGAGTTCGTATGTAAAGTTCCTTAAAAGGA